ATTATGGAGATAGAATATGAAAAGTATTAATCAATTGAGTACTTAAAATAAAAAGAAATCACGATGAACTTATAGACAAATATAAAATAAGATTATTACGAATTCGAGATTATGAACAAAAATATGGTATAAATTATGAGAAAGTATAATTAGGCAAAATACGAGACGATATGAACTTTATTTTTATCTGTCTCAATCGGAAGCAATACATATATATTAATATACATCAACTAGATTATATATTAGTTTATAAATATATTCAAAATAATTTAAAAGAAATAATCTATATTTATAATAATTTGAACTATTCTTATAACAAAATATAAAAATCAAATATCTTCTCTAAAAATTCTTATATGAATTAAAACATAAAAAGTTTAAAACATAAAAATTAGAACAAAAAATTAAATATTTGTCTAGTTCGTGTATGTAAAAATCTAATATAATAATATAAAATCTAATATAGACTCTTGTGCATTTGTTAGTTTTAATGTTAAGAAATTATTATTACATGGATGATATTATTTATATAGATGATTTATTAATCATATCTAATGATATAAATATTGGATATGATATGAAATTAAATAGATTCAATACAATTAAAAATATAAATAATTAAATATCTTAAATATCTTAAATATCTTAAAATAAAAATTTTTTATAAGATTAAGATCCAATCAATCCAAATTTTAGGAATTAATGTTATAAGAAACAATGATATAGGAAACATTGAATTAAATCAAAATAAATATATTCTAAAATTATTAGAAAAATTTGGGATGCAGAGTTGTAAACTAATATTAATGTTTGTAGAATTTGAACTGAAAATAGGGAAAGAAATAGGGAAAAATATTAAACAAAATGATGCAAATTCCTTATAAAAAATTTAATAAGCGGATTATTATATTTAGCTATCGCTCCAATATTGCAACCAGCATTATTGTTGAATACATAGTGAATCAGTGTTTTTATTTGAGTCCTATTACAATTTACTGGAAATGTACAAAAAAAGTATTGAAATACTTAAAGAGTATCATATTCAATGAAGTATAAAGAATTTTTATTTTAAGAACTCCACAAGGCGAGTTCAAAACTTATATAGACGCAAGAGACAACAATGATAGAAAATTGTTTTGGAAATGTAATTATTCTAGCTGGAGTAGTAATTATAATACTTTGAAAAAATAATCAACCATATAATCTAAATATATCTAAATATATAAATATATAAATATAATAAATATAATCTATCTACAATGGAAACAATATATATGGTCTTAAACAAAATATTAAAAGAATATATATATATTATATATTATATAAATA